ATATTGAACCATCCTTACCCTGGGATAAATCCTCCCTGGTCATGGTGTATGAACTTCTTGATGATTTGCTGTATTCTATTTGCTAGGATTTTATTGAGGACTTTTGCATCAATGTTCATGAGGGAGATTGGCCTGTAGTTCTCTTTTTTAGTTATGTCTTTCCCTGATTTTGGTATCAGTATAATACTTGCTTCCAGGAATGATTTTGGGAGGATTGCTTCCTTTTCAATTTTATCGTAGATTTTGAGGAGTATAGGTATTATATCTTCTGTAAATTTCTCATAGAATTCAGCTGTGAATCCATCAGGACCTGGACTTTTCTTTGTCTGTAGGTTTTTTACAATATTTCACATTTCATTGGCTGTTATTGGGTTATAGAGATTTGTTATGTTATATCTTCTTGATTCAGTTTTGGTAATTTGTACCTTTCTAGGAATCTGTCCATTTCATTTGTGCCTTCTCTTCTATGAGAGTAAAGATTATCAAAGTCGCTATTGATAATCTTCTGAACTTCCACTGGGTTTGTGGCAATTACACCCTTTTCATTCTTTATTGCTTGTATTTACATTTTTTATTTCCTCTTTTTGATGAGGTTAGCTAGAAGCTTATTGACTTTATTTGGGCTTTCAAAAAGCCAGCTTTTTGATTCATTAATTCTGGGAACTCTTACCTTCATCTCGATTGAATTAATTTCTGTTCTAATCTTTATGATTTCTTTCCGTCTTTGGTCTCTGGATTTGGTTTGCTCTTCCTTTTCTAGATGTTGGAGGTGCAGCATTAATGTGTTTATTTGTTCCTGTTCTGTTTTCTAAATGTGTGAGTTCACAGCTATGAATTTCCCTCTGAGAACTGCTTTCATTGCATCCCATAAATTCCGATAAGTTGTGCATGGGTTTTCATTGAATTGTAGATATTGTTCAGTTTGTTGTTTAATTTCATCTGTGACCCATTGATTGCTGAGGAGAGTGTTGTTTAATTTCCATGTATTTAGGGTTTTCTCTGGTTTGTTTTGTCACTGTGGTCAGATAATCTGCATGGGATAATTTCTATTTTCTTACATATACTAAAGCATGACCTGTGGGCTAGTATGTGGTCTATTTTAGAAAATGACCCATGTGCAGCTGAAAAAATTTGTATACAGCTGTGGTTGGGTGGAACACTCTGTGTATGTCCACTAAGTCTGTTTGTTCCAAGCTCTGCTTCAGTTCTGCTACTTCTTTGCTAATTTTTTGTCTGGTTGATCTATCTTTTTGGGATAAGGGGGTGTTAAGGTCTCCTATTAAGATTGTGGTATTGGATATTAGATTTTTCATGTCCATTAACATTTGTCTTATGCAGTTGGGTGCTTCTGTGTTTAGTCCATGCATATTTATGAGTGTTATCTCTTCCTCTTGACTTTGTCCCCTAACCAGTATATAGTGATCTTCTTTATTTCGTTTGATCATTCTTGGTTTGAGGTTGAAACTGTCTGAGAACAGGATTGCTACCCCTGCTTATTTCTGAGGTGCTGGGGCATGTAGAATTATTTTCCAACCTTTGACTTTCAGCCTATGAATTTTTTCATGAGTTAAGTGTGTTGTTTGTATATAGCATTTTGTTGGATTTTGTTTCCTAATCCACTGTGCCAGTCTATTTCTTTTAATTGGTGAATTGAGTCCATTTACTTTGATGATCATAATTGAGATGTACTGACTTATGATCTACATGCTATTTCCCTGCTGTTGTTTACTCCTTTTTCTCCTGTGTTTAATTTTTTGCCCTATATAGTGTATTCCTTCTGTTCTCATTGTGGAGTTCTGATCATTTTGGCGCCTCTCTAGAACATCTTTAAGTAGTCTGTGTAGGGTTGGCTTTGTTATCATGAAATTCTTTA